TTCTCTTTTTCTTCAAGATCGCCACTCTCGGTGAGATCGCCAAGCACCTCTTCCACATTTAAAATTTGCGATGATAGTCACCGGTTGTTGCACTTCTCTTCTCATACTAATATTCTCTATCTTGCTTCTCCTTTTCTTTTTAGATTCCAGCCAAAATAAAATTGAAGGGAAGTAACATATGGAATATCAACCTTGTTTATCTTAACATGCAGATATCCTAGCGACTCCCGATCATTGTAGTTGTCGAATAGGTGTTTTGCAGTTTTAATTTTAGTATCGACTGCTGCTTGTTACAGCTCTACCAATTTCCTTCATCATTGCCCCAATGAAACAAAAATGGAGCGGGATACCCAAGGAAAGGGTCATATGGGAGAAGGTAAGAGAACAATGCAGAATCTGCATGCTCTCACAGGCAACGGTGCTGCTGCTCGTCAATACAAAGAAAGGGGTAAACACAGCTCGACATGCATCTTGGTTCGATTTTCCGAAATTTTGCTTGAATTTCTTCTAACTGATCATCAATCAATTGTCATGCAAATCGCGATTTCTCATATGGATGGTCTAGGGTTCGTGATTATAAAAAAGAGTTATGAATTGATGCTAATACCAATCTTATTGGTCCATTTTTCCAATCTAATTGTCACATTCTTGTATCATTGAGACTGGTCTCAAATAGAGAGGCCCATCTGAAAATGGATCATTGTCTCAAAAGTCGATGGGGGTTTAGCTCAACCCATCAAAGTTTGTTGAAAATAACACATTACAATAATACTTATTTTAGCGAACAGTAATGGGGCATTTAGCTTTATATATTAATATATTAGTGAACAGTAACGCGTATTTAGCTTTATATATATTCATATGGTTTTTCCTATTCTTCCCCTGTTTGTATTCATCGTCATTTCCCATATTTCTCCCACTATGTTCCACGAAGGTAGAAACTAAAAAAGTTATGATTAAGGTTGCGTGGGACTTATTGGCTACGCCAAAGAAAGAGGGTGGTATGGGATTGCATGACCTCCGAACTTGGAACATTGCCTATTTGGCTCGTCTCTTGTGGTTGCGAGCTCGAGCTTTTGGGTGGCATGGGTGAGGCGTTATAGGCTGCGAGCTCGATCTATTTGCGAGCTGCAGCCTACCATGGCTGGATCCTGACTATGGAGACAACTATGTAAGCTTCATGGGTGTTATCAATATAGAATGACTGTAAATGCTCAAATTCGGGTCTTCTGGGAGGCAAACTTATGCAAAGGTTTTCGGTGCAACAAGTATGGGAGTCCATTCGGGTGCATAGACTTCTGGTTCCATGGTGGCAGCTGATTTGGGGTAAGTATACTCTCCCCAGAAATAGAGTTATTGTGTGGCTTCATTTTAAATCGAATAGTGATTCGTTACAAGCTCAAGAAGTGGGGTAAGATCAATGAGGCAGTGTGTTTACTTTGTGATATAGAGGAAGAAAGCCGCTCTCATTTGTTCTGTAGTTGTGAGTATACTGGGCACTTGTTTGCTGCGGGTTCTGATTGGGAGCAGATGCTACAAGAGATGTGTTCCGTGACTAAGAATGGTAGAGATGGTTTTTTGATGAGTGTAGTTGGGTTTGGAAGGAGAGATGTAGACGTGTTTTTAGAGAGATTCCCAAGCCATCGGAGGTTGTCTTCTTGCAATTAGGTGAGGAGGTTTGGTTACTAGCACAAGGAAATTTACGATTTAAAGATGTTGTTAGGCAGAGTAGAGTGGTAGGAAGATTAAATCTACACTTTTGATTTTGAGAGTTTTCCACTGTAAGATGTAAATCTGAGTTTATGTGCGACTTGATCGTGTTGATCAAGTGAGCTTAATGGAAGAAATAATTTCCGGAAAAAATCCTTACATTGTTTCTGTATTCCAAACCTCGATTTCTAATATGGATTTTTCTGGGTAGTGATGGTTAAAAAGAGTTACGAATAGATGTTATTCCCGATGTTATTTGTCCATTTTTTCCCATATAATTGCCCTATTACTGGTATCGTTGAGATAGGTCTCAAACATATAATTTCATAAGGCCGTGGAGTTAAGCCAACCCAACAGAGTTATGACTTGTAACTAGGTTATGGTGCACCGCCCACTGTTAGGAGGACCGTCATTCAAGGTGCATCCAACAACTAAAATGAAAGATCCACTTCATTTATGAACCAAATCTCTTTAAAGTATAAGTTAGTGGATTGAGGGGCTCAGACTTCATTAATGGTCATGAAAAGTGGGGCCTTTGTATCTAGAGAAGTTGCAGATTACATATTACATACATGTGGTATGTGTATATTCGAATTGAACAAAAATCATATTTCATATATGTGGTATGTGTATTCATTATTTGGATAAGTTATATTCAGAATGAGAAGAATTCATATTAGAATATATACATATACATATATATTTGAACTGAACAAAAAAACATATTCGAATTGGAAAAAAATATATGTGGTATGTGTATTCATCGTTTTACAACTTGTATTCCCCCTATTTTCACTATCTTCTCTCGGTTACTTTTGAGATTTAATATATGTGGTATCTGTCTTCATCGTTTTACAACTTGTATTCCCCCAATTTCCACTATCTTCTCTCAGTTACTTTTTAGAATGTTGGTCCCAACTTCCACTATCTACTCCTCAAAATGAATCAGTGCCCTTAATTAAGTGGGTATTCATGTGGACCGTTAGATGCCCACGGAGAACCATTCTCCAAATAGTTGGTGGAGGACCTGAGCAAATTTTTGTGACTCGGGTGTCAATACACTTAATCTCAACTATAAGCCAAGTGCAACCTATAGAGGGTGTATGATTGGGTAAGTATTTCAATATCAACATGGACGGTCTATCTACCCTTACAAGTTATCTAGCAATCAAAATATAGTTAAAGCTAAGAAGACTAAGCAAATTAAACAAGCAAGTAATTAAACTTTGGTGAGTTCAATTGAGAAAGAATCACTCAGATATTGCTCCCTTAAGTCTCTTGTGGAGATACAATGAATGAAAATCTAGTGTAATAGGTAGGATCATCTACTGGTAGGAGATCACAATAAGCTAGCGAGACCTCAAGCCTCTCAATTGATCGATTAAGGATTTTCACGATTAGGTAGGAAACCCGAAGCCTCTTAATCAATCGACCAAATTATACAAAATCTCTCCCTCATAAAGTAATTTGGAACTGCAAAAAGTAACCAATCAAGAAGATATCATGGCACTAATTCGATGAATTAGGAATGACCCGAATTGCCCTATAGATCCTAGACTAGTGTCCACAACATCCAGGTGAAATTGGAGACTACTTTATAGCTAGAGGAGAAAATACAAATAAAAGAGAAGAAAAACACATAGCAAGATGAACTTCCTTCTTCTTAAATGCTTGATTCAACCATCAGAAAAGAAATCAACCTTCATCTAGCCTTGGGTAGGTGCAATTCTCCTTCCTTCTACCTCAGCTCGTAGCTCTCTCTCTAAACCTTGAAGAAGAAGCTCCAAACTCTCTCTAAGACTCTCCCTTTCGAATTCAACTAACTATCCCTTATATAGGTCCTGAGTGCACAAATCACGATCTCACATCATGTCGTGACATCGATAAGGAAACTGTGATCTCGGCGCAAAAAAATGTTGTTTTACTTACGAACTTCACGAGCCGCGTGTTGACATCACGGTCTGGAGATAGTGCAAATTGAAATAAACCATAGTGCATCTCACGGATGTAATCTTCACGGTCTGGAAATAGTGAAAATTACACACAAACCGTGATGTGTGCAAAAACTGAGATTTCATCGACTTTCAACCCCGATCGACTATACTATGCCCCAAACACAAACACAACATACACACAGACCAAATCACAAGAATCATGGGCACAATTGTCACTTCAAACTCAAACCTTGACACTAATACTCACATGCACAAAATAAAATGAAGGAAAATAAAAAAATAACCAATGTTGGGTTGTCTCCCAACAAACCTTGACTGTAATACTCTTTAGCTAGATGTTGACGGATCTCTTGCTTTATCACATAAAGCCACCGAGAGTGGATCTGCCACATTCTCGGGGTGAGCCTCGCCACCTCAAACATTCAACTGGTGGCCTTTGTAACTAAAACAACCCGATAATTTTACCCAACCGAAATACTCATGGCTCCGGAGCCGATTAAAAATAACATTTTCCCGACGAAGATACTGTCCGCTTTGGGCCTCGACCCTCACGGTTTTTGACTTGGGGTGCAATTCAAGGTGACTTCCCATAAGGTCACCCATCCTTGTTGTACTCCACACTGAGCACGTTTAACTTTGGACGAGAACTCCTCCATTTCACCCCAAAACGCATCTTGTCAGTTAAGGCCAGTTTCCTACTTATGAACCATGGATCTCTCCCGTGCTTTGTCGATGTGGGATTTGCCTAACAACCCAGTGCGAAATATGACAAAAGAAAAATAACCCTTCCCTCACGACATGAAATATGGCAAAAGAAAAAACAACCTAGCGCAAAATTGGACGAGGAATAGTATTAACTAGCCTATTGGAATTATTAACCACTGATTTGAGCCTAGTTAATATAGTAGCTTCCTCTAGTGTAAAATTTTATATTTAGTTTTCTTCAATGTGAGATTTCTGCTTTTCTTTAATATATTATCAATGACATTATGAAAAAAAGTAAAGCTGGATCGAGTTAGGTTGTGACACATTCCTTCTCTCATTTTAATTTTTTTGTTTTCAGATGAGAAACCATTGTGAACAGTAATACATCATAAATCAATGAATTAGATAGCAAACAGGTGCCGATAATTCTTCATACATGAACACATCATTAACCAATCAACTAGATAGCAAACAGGACCCAATAATTCTCCATACACGAAGATAAATTAAAAAAAGAAAAATTCAAACCCAGTAGCTCGACCGAAGAGTACTTGTTCACAAACACATGAAACCCTTGAAAACAACAACCAAATAGATACACAAACTAGTGATCTTAGTCAATAACATAAATCATATATCCATCAGCCCTTCAAACGTTTCCATGGCGGAAGCTGGTAATCCCATCAACACATTCACGCTCTTCCTCTCTTTCCCGTGCGAGAGGAAGAGAATGACTTCCTTCTCCGGAAGCACGACGGGCCCCGCAACCGTTGGCTCCCCCCACCCGAAATCCGTAGTATGGAAAGACAGCCTCGACCAGGTGGTGATGAGCAGCGTCGCAGCCAGAGACGGCCTTTTCCTTGTCGCTTCAAAATAATCAATCGCCGATCTCATGTACCCATCATCCACCATCCTCACAGCCTCCTGAACCCGCCTCGCCGCAGACGACAGGTCGTTTCCCACAATCTCCCCTGCTTTGCAGAGCGAATTGGTGAGCACGATGGCGTTGCCGAAGTAGCCGCTTGGGATCGGGGGCACGAACTTGCCCCTGCCGTCCACTGCGAAGAGGAGCTTGGTCTCCTGATCGGGGAGAAGTTTGAGGGACTGGGTCCGCGATTTCCAGACGAAGGCGGAGAGGGCTTCGAAGGTCGTGCATTTGGGCAAGGAGCCGTCTTGGAGTGCTCTGGCCTTGACGCGCTGGAGCTTTTCCGGGTCGAAGCAGAAAGAACGGTAGAGCATCTCTTCCTCCTCGTAGAGCCTGGCGGCGTTTGATATGTCCTCGATCTCGGCGAACTCGTGGTGAGGGTTTTGGATTTGGGGCGGGACTCGGGCTTTCAGAATTGTCCGGTCCATAAACGGTGGGACGTTGAGTGGCAGCCCACGGGCCGTTTCGCCCCACGAATTGACGAACTCCATCGCACCGATTCCGTCGAACATACAGTGGTTCATGCACAAACCCAGAACGAAACCTCCGCACTTGAATCTTGTTACCTGCCAAACGGATATACCATGTAAATTTTACAGCAGAGCAGACAGATCCAAGTGCATAAAAAAAGACTATTAACAATATGTGTATCTTTAAATTTTGGCATTTGATGAAGTACACGTGTTCCAAATATATAATATTAAAGTCCCATAATCAAAGTAGTTGGCATTCCTCAGTAACAGACGATTTATGAAATTATGATAGTTTTTTTTTTTTTTTTTGTAGAAACATGATAATTGATGGAAGATATTTCCAAAACAAGAGCTTTTATGGTGTATGAAGTAGAAACATACATCATGTTTGACCAATTCTATATATAGGAAAAGGAAACTTGGTTGGGAAAATGTGCAGTGAGGTAAGAAAGCATGTGTTGTTGACCAACACTTGAGAAGTTAGAATGGAATGGAACCCACCTGAGCAACAAGAGGCGGAATCTGAAGAATGTTCTGAGCGCCAGGAATATCATAAACCAACTTCCCCAGAGTGACAGGATCAGGCTTCGTGATGTCTCCAATCTGAGAAACGCGACAGTCGGATTCGGCCTCGACGAAGACGGCACCCTCGGCAGTGCAGTCCACAATCAGCTTCATCTCGGGGCTTAGAGTGAGGCGGCCAGCGAGCGGGTAGTAGTGAACCAGGACTTTGGACAGGGCATCCTTGATCACATCGATGGCATCCTCGTTTCCCCTGTTTTCGGAGTGGAAGCAGTAGATTGTGCGGACGATGACGGCGATGTTCTGGTCCAGGTTTGACAGGAAGTAGAAACCTTTCTGGGTCTCGTCCGCCGGGGTGACAAGGGTCGGCTCCTTGCGGGTGACACTAAGCTGGAAGGCCCCTTCTTCCTGATTCTGTTGATGATTGTTCGCCATCGGACAAAGGGAGATGGATGCAGCAAGCAAGGTTGGGGTTCTGTTTTTGTTTTTTTCTTCTTCTTTGTGAATGTTGTTGTGGTGATGGTTGAGAGATGTGGTGAGGGAGTTTGTTTATATAGAGAAGAAAGGAGCAACGGATTCAACTAAATATGGGTTTTGGTTAACAAACTGTTTGTGTGAGCAAGGCAATGATGGAGACAGGGGAGGGTTTCGTCTGCTATGGGGTTTGGTCTGGGAAGAGAGATTGAATTTGAAACACACACAAAATAGTTTAATGGAGGAGGAGGAGGAGAGTATTGGGTTTGATTGGGTTTTTTGTAAAGAAATGGAACAGTTTTGGTGTTGTGGAAAGGGTCTTCTATGGTAGGCTACTGGTCAGTGAACCAAAACATCACCAGCCCAGCAACTCTCTCTGGCGTGGGAAATGGTGGACGATAACAAGTTTCATTCAACTCCACTCCTGCTTATTAGGCCTTGGTTGGTGGGGTTGGCCTCCAAATCTCTCCTCATTTTTTAAAACCCAGGGTCGCTTTACTTTGTTTTCAAACATGGAAATGAATTAACAAATGGAATTATATACGTGCACCACAGCACATCGCAGGACAGGCTGCGCGCTCTGCACTCTCAACTAATTCGCCATTGTCGACAAACAATTATTAGCGAGCAACGGGGATAAGATGGCAGCCAATAATTCACAGGGAGCGAGGTTACCGAAATCTAGCATTAAAAGGGGGCAACCAAAATAAATGTTTCTCAGTTTTCCAATGCAATCGAAATCAAATTAGTGAGTTATGTTAGTAATTCACCAGAAGAGAGAAAGAAAGAAAGGAGAGATGGTGCGGTGCGCTAACCATGCCGGAGCCAACTTTGGTTTCGTGCACATCTTCACCGGCCTTCTTCCATTTACAAGTTCCAAGAAAATCGGCTTTGGAAAAACTCCCCTGATCTCCTCTGCCACTAGTGAAGGAATTGAATCTGAATTCACAGTTACCCAACCTTATTAAAGCGGATAAAATTCAATGTTAACGAGTTTTGGGTTAGGTGTGAGTTTTACCTGTTTTTTAAATTAACGAGTTGGGTTGGATTTGAATTTTTCACTCAACTCACGTCCATAATGTAAAACGATGTCATTTTGTATCTAAACGAAATAATATGAACAGTTTATAGATGTTAGTAGTATTTATGGCAGTAAATAATATGGATAATTTATGGATGTTAGTATTATTTATAGAGATATATTTATAGGAAATTTTTTATAACATTAAGATGAGGGTGTTTGAAGAAATAATATGTGGTTATGTTCGTGAACCCATGGATATCCATAAACATTACATTACGATGAGGGTGTTCGAGGAAATAATATGTGGTTATGTTCGTGAACGTATGGATACCCATGCACCCTGAGTACTGTTACGGTCTTACTCTTGTCACCATGTTGGCGTCATGTCATCTGCCACATGTGACAGTACCCGTTGATTGAGTTGGGATTTCACTTCTAAACCTCAATGAGTAGTTTTTATCGTATTTTTAATAGGTTTACTCGCTGTGTTGGATTAGGATTTAGAAAAACCCGATATAACTCGACCCATTGTCATCCTTAACCACTAATTTTATTGGACTCCAACTGGATGGATGAATACATGCTACTTATTTTATCTTTTTATATGAACACCCCATGTTCCTCCTACTCACTTTTAGCAAGCTAAAATTTGGAAGCTAACACCCAATTTGTTAGTATTGTGCTAACATTAGCTTCCGTAACATTTTATTTTGATGACTTTTCTTATTTTTAAGGGGTTGACCAGAATTAACGCTGATTGTAAAGGGAGCAACATGCTTGCCATTTTTAAAATTATAGGACCATAAAGTTTATAAAGCATTTTAGAACCTCACCATACCATAGAATTTATAAAACATACCAAACTAGGGGTGGTAAATGGTTAGTCGATTATTGGTTGTAACCAATAACCGAACTGCTAAGGCAGTTAATGGTTAATCGATAATCGCTAATTTTTTAGTGATTTGATTTCGGTTAGCTGTATTTTGCTTAGTGGTTAACCGATAACCAACTACTAGTATACCCACATAATTTAGATCTTTGCCTAAGGAAAAAGTCTCAAGGTTCAAAACCAACCAAAGTCCCAATTCCTGACATCTCAATTTCCACTTATTGCAAACTACCCTCCACCCAAAGCCTTAAGTGTGTTTAAGAGCCAGAACCCAAAAGACATCCTTTCTAACTCCCATTTTACAACCAGAGGGAACATCACACCCTAGTAGTCTTTTTTCTTTGATGTTTGTTGATGAGATTGAGCTTGTGGTTCTTGTGTTTGATCTCTTGGTAGTTGCTATTCACTAATTAGATCAAGACATTTGATTTTTTTTTAATTTATGTGTTTAAATTTTCATTTGAATTATGAATTTTTGGGATGTATGTTTGATATGTCCCTGATCTTTTCTCTAGCCTCCAGTCTGAACCATATAATATTTGATTTGTTCTTAGTCTTTGCTCTAGCCTCGATTCTGAATTGTAAACGATATATATAGTCCCAGTGGCGGACCCAGGACGTGTTATCATATTTTAAAAAAATTGTGAAATATATTCACTGTAATGCTCACCAAAATAAAATTAATATATTTTACTAAACAATCATTTACGAAGCTATTCAATTCGGAAACTTGTTTTGATATAACCAAAGCTGAAAAAGCTCTCTCAACACTTGAAGTTGCAACCGGTAAAATCAATACAACTTTGAGGAGCAAAAAGACTCATGGACATGATAGATTCAATTTTGTCTCCACCATCAACTCAACATTAGTTCCTTTTAGTCCATAAAATAACTCATCATTTTTAACACAAAAATAATTATTCTCAAAGTTCGGTTAGGTTTCTATGTTGTTTGTATTCTTGAAATGTGAGTTTCTGATAAAAATTTCATCATTCATAAAAAAAATCAGAAAGGTGCCCAAACTCTTTTGGATAAAATCGTGTGTTAGAATACATTGGGGATAAGTGGTAGTTCGTGGGGTTTAACTTTTGGCTTTGGAAATTTTTGGGATAAGGGATACACGTTTATAATTACGTTTAGGCAAAATAAATCTGTATAGCCAAAACTTTCACGTATTTGTCAATAATATCCACTTTTCGGGAATTTTTCTGACTTGGCGAAACAACTTACCACATGGATTTGTGAAAGTAAAAATGAAAAATAAAAAAAATAGGCTAGTGAAGGCCTGTGGTCCCCTTCGTCTTCTTCCTTCATTCTTTCCTTCCGTCACCACCCTCCCACTGCCAACCGGTGCTACGAAACGATGCTGACACCAAGCGACTGAGGACGAGAAGCCGAAAGGTAGGAAAGATGCGGGAGCTTGATCTCATTTGTGGATCTCAATCTCACATACCGCTACGCGCGACGGCGATGCCAAGCGGTAGAGGAGTCAGAGATTTGGATTTGGATCCACATCTGGTGAAGAAGGGAGAAGCTTGGGATTCTGACAACCCTTCTCTCCGACATAAAAAACGGCACCACATATGATTCCGGACCGCCGTCATCCCCTCAATCATTGTTGCTATTTTCGTCGGCGACAAGCTCCCCAAAGCCATGTTCTCGTACCTCAGCATCGTGAAGGTGATGAATCTGGAGGAAGGCAACACATGCCCTATTTCGCTGGAGGCAGGGGATATTACTAGTCATAAATTTTGACTCCGCTAGAAGCAGAGCTTGACGAAGAGTCACTCGCCATCGCACCAAAAAACGAAGTTGAATCGACGATTGAGGAAATTTAATGAAGCGGATCAATACAGCAAATTTGTCGAAGAATCAACCGAATCGAAGGTTTCGGGCATTCTGGTTTTGGCAAGAAACGAATCATGGATCGTGCGTTGAAACTGAATGGTGGAAGAAACGAATCGTGGAAGCGGGTCAAGAATGCAGCAAAACTGAATGGCGAAAGAACCAAATTGTGGATCGTGCGTTGCTGGGTTTTGGACATTCTGGTTTTGCAAGCGACGCGTGCGTTGATGGGCTTTTGGCTCTTACGTTCTGGGTTTTTGGGGGTTCCTTATGGTATTTCTTAGTTTCTGAATATTTGGCTTTTGGTAATGGCATTGATGGTGAAATGAAAAGTTTTGATTTGTTGTGGTGCCCTCTGGAATATTTCGTGGTGGAGGTGAATGTCGGCGAGACGCGGTTGGGAGAGAAGAAGAAGGAGACGACTGGTGGGGAATAGGGGGAAATTAAGAAAAAATATTTATACTTGTTAGTTTCAAAATTAATTATTTTTATAAATCAAAATGACGTGGCAATGATATTGATGACTTGTCATTGATATGTGCGATGATTGGCATCAGAGTCAGCCTAACGTTAACCTAACTGACGGATTTTCTATACCGTTAAAGTTTGTAACGAAAATGGCTATATTTGTCATTAAACTTTCAAATTTTTGGACATTTTGTGTATTTCTAAAAAATTTACTATTATTGTCATAACCAACAAAGTTTTTTGCTATACAGATGTATTTGGCCTTATATTTATCACAAAATTACAACAATAAATGAAGTGTAGTCAAACAGAAAAGATGTTCACTAATAATAATAACTATTTTGTTAGTTTTGAATAACAAATAGTATCATTTTCTCCCTTTTCCCCCATACTCAAAATACTATCAACAGTTTATTAATTTTTCTCCCAAATTTTAGGGGTGTCCTACCCTCCACTTTGATCCGCCACTATATAGTCTATTATGAACAATCCACACTTTTCTCGACCCTAGTTCCAACTCAGATGGCCTTGGCAAAGCCAACTGCTGGGCGAGTCAAAGTTAATCCGACGTGATTCAAAGTTGTGGTCAGATATGTAGGGTTCGTTTGCTATTGGCGGCAGTAGAGGTGGCAATTAGTATTCAAATCGATAAATCCAATCCATCCATCAAAATATACAGCTACTCCAATCCATTTTAATCCAATTTATTTGATCCAAATCCAATTGGATTGGTGG